GGTCAAAGTTAGTAATGGCACACCACACACACGGTGCGCCATTACTAACTTTGAAAAAAAATAAAAAAATAGTTAGTAGTGGGGCACCGAGGGTGTGGTGCGCCATTACTAGTTAAACTAGCAATGGCGCACTATCCCCTGGTGCGCCATTACTAGTTTTGAAAAAAAAAATTATTAGTAGTGGCGCACCATGTATGTGGTGCGCCATTAGTATTTGGATTTTAATGTTGTATCTATATATGGTGCGTCACTACTATATATAGCAGTGGTGCACCACACATGTGATGCACCATTAGTGTCCATTTCATCTATAGCTGTTTTCCTAGTAGTGCAGCGCCTACCCGTGGCCCACCACTGACGGGGAGACCGTCCTCTCGTGGTTACACCGCCACACTGTGTCCGGCTCCGTTGCCGACGCGTGGCTCGCCGAGTCAGCTGACTTCGAGCGAGTGTTCGTCTGGGGCGACTCGTCCGGTGGCAACATCTCTCACCACATCACCGTCCGGTACGGCTCCGGCAGCCTCGATATAAACCCGGTGCGTATCGCCAGGTGTGTCCTGCTCGGTCCATACTTCGGCGGGGAGGAGAGGATGGCGTCGGAGGCGTGTTCGCCTGCCGACTTGCTCATGAGCCTTGCGCTGTTCGACCAGATGTGGCGGCTACCGCTGCCGGTGGGGGCGACGAGGGACCACCCGGCGGCGAACCCGTTTGGCCCCGAGAGCGCGTCGCTCGATGACGTCGCGTTCCCACCGGTGCTCGTCCTAAACGCCGAGCATGACCTGCTGCGTGACCGGACCGCGGACTACGTCGCGAGGCTGAAGGCCATGGAAAACCCGTGGAGCTGGTGGAGTTCGATGGGCAGGAGCACGCGTTCTTCGTCTACAAGCCGTGGGGCGCCGCGGCGGACGAGCTGATCCGAGTGGTGCGGAGGTTCGTGCACGGCGGCGCGCCGGACACGGCGGCTGCCTTGTCTGGAAGTCCGGAATTACTCCCTCCCTAAAAAATACGGAGTATATAAGAGTGTTTAGTGTTAATACTACTACTTTTTTTGCAGACATCTTTAGTGTACAACTTATTAAAGCCTAACGCGTGCTTTGCCCCTCAATTTTTCAATCGTGGGAATACCTTTGTTTTCACTCTAGCATGTTATTATGGTCGTTTGTTTCATTATGGTTTTATCAGCATTGGCTTGAACTATAATTATGTTCTGATCTATATCATGTGGGATGTTGTTAAAGATGATATTTGTTCCGAGAAGAGAGTGAAATTATTCCACATGTGGTTGTAGTGCCGTTACACGTTTCGACCTCAGTGGCAGCTAGTGTTGATTGTGTGAGCCCCTTGGAAGGGAAAGTCCCCAACTACTCAGGAGCTCAGCATGAACAGTAAATTTGAGAAAATAAAACATTCTAAAATTCTGATTTTTGGTAAACTTTAACAAATGTTTTAAGAGCCTGCAATTTTTCACTTTGAAATGACATTCGTGGAAGTCATAGAAAAAAAACACAAAATCAACACTTCAAAATGCTTTTGAAAATGGCATCTTTTTAGCATCGATTTTGTTTATTTTTGCCACTACTTCCATAAGTGTGATTTCATGATGAAATTTTACAAGCATTCAGAACATTTGTCAATGTTTTGCACAAACAAAATTTAGAACCTTTTGAACTATTTTCATTTTTTTTACGATTTTACTATTCATACGGGCTCATTTGAGTTCGAGCTGAGAATAGTTGCGTCCTCTTGGAAGCTCATATTCCACGCTGAAATGATGCAATTGTTGTTATAACGCTCACATGGGCTGGCCCATGACTCTCGCTCGCTCAGATCGTCTCTTTGCACCGCTCGCTCATTTGTTTTATTTTTCGCTCGCTCAGAAACAATCGGCTATCGTTCGTTTATTTGAAAACGTTCCTTAAATCAAAAGATGTTCATGGATTTATAGAAAATGTTACAAACTAAAAAAACTCATAATTTTAGTAAACTTGTTCCCGAATCTAAAAATATTCGTGGACCTCAAACAATGTTGGCAAATTTGAAAAAATGTCTGCAAGTGTTCATAGACATTAAAAATGTTAGTGGACTCTAAATTTATTCAAGAACTTAAAAAATATTAATGAATTTCAAAACTCGTCAAGATTTTTATTAAATGTTCAAGAATTAAGATGTGGAAATAACAAACAAATAAATAAATAACAACCAGGAAAAGGCAAAAAATTAGACCAATAGAGAAAACATAAAAAAGAAAAAAAAGCCCAAGAAATACCTTCTACAACCTTCTCAAAACAGGGAAAACCGGCTGGTGAATTATGACTATATACATATGAGCACATATGCTTTACTCTGAACCTGCGACACACCCCCTTACAAATGGCCCCCATAGAGACCATCACATAACAGATCACACCAGGAGGCTCCAGATAGAGAACTTAGTATCTGAATAAAAAAATGCTCAATGTGTATTTAACAAATGTACACCTTGTTTTTAAAAATGTTGTACAACATGTATCTGAAAAATGTTGATCTGAATAAAAAATGCTCAATGTGTATCTGAATAAAAAATGCTCAATGCAGCAATGAGGATAAATCTCATATCACGGATCCAATCCGCATCATTGCTACTAACATTTTCAACTTAGTTTTCTCTAGGAACACATATAAAAAACATAGGGAAGCTATAACACGAGCTATTGATCTACAACATAATTTGCAAAATACTACCAGGACTAAGTTCATGATAAATTAAAGTTTAATTAATCATATTACTTAAGAACTTCCACTTAGACAGACATCTCTCTAGTCATCTAAGTGATCACGTGATCCAAATCAACTAAACCATGTCCGATCATCATGTGAGATGGAGTAGTTTTCAATAGTGAACATCACTATGTTGATCATATCTACTATATGATTCACGTTTGACCTTTCGGTCTCCATGTTCCGAGGCCATATCTGTATGTGCTAGGCTCGTCAAGTTTAACCTGAGTATTCCGCGTGTGCAACTGTTTTGCACCCGTTGTATTTGAACGTAGAGCCTATCACACCCGATCATCACGTGGTGTCTCAGCACGAAGAACTTTCACAATGGTGCATACTCAGGGAGAACACTTCTTGATAATTAGTGAGAGATCATCTTATAATGCTACCGTCAATCAAAGCAAAATAAGATGCATAAAGGATAAACATCACATACAATCAATATAAGTGATATGATATGGCCATCATCATCTTGTGCTTGTGATCTCCATCTCCGAAGCACCGTCGTGATCACCATCGTCACCGGTGCGACACCTTGATCTCCATCGTAGCATCGTTGTCGTTTCGCCATCTATTGCTTCTACAACTATCGCTACTGCCTAGTGATAGAGTAAAGCAATTATAGGGCGTTTGCATTTCATACAATAAAGCGACAATCATATGGCTCCTGCCAGTTGCCGATAACTTGGTTACAAAACATGATCATCTCATACAATAAAATATAGCATCACGTCTTGACCATATCACACCACAACAAGCCCTACAAAAACAAGTTAGACGTCCTCTACTTTGTTGTTGCAAATTTTACGTGGCTGCTACGGGCTGAGCAAGAATCGTTCTTACCTACGCATCAAAACCACAACGATATTTCGTCAAGTTAGTGCTGTTTTAACCTTCGCAAGGACCAGGCGTAGCCACATTCGGTTCAACTAAAGTTGGAGAAACTGACACCCGCCAGCCACCTGTGTGCAAAGCATGTCGGTAGAACCAGTCTTGCGTAAGCATACACGTAGTGTCGGTCTGGGCCGCTTCATCCAACAATACCGCTGAACCAAAGTATGACATGCTGGTAAGCATTATGACTTGTATCGCCCACAACTCATTTGTGTTCTACTTGTGCATATAACATCTATGCATAAAACCAGGCTCGGATGCCACTGTTGGGGAACGTAGTAATTTCAAAAAAAATCCTACGCACATGCAAGATCATGGTGATGTATAGGAACGAGAGGGGAGAGTGTTGTCCACGTACCCTCGTAGACCGAAAGCGGAAGGGTTAGCACAACGCGGTTGATGTAGTCGTACGTCTTCATGGCCCGACCGATCAAGCATCGAAAGCACGGCACCTCCGAGTTCTTGCACACGTACAGCTCGATGACGTCCCTCGAACTCCGATCCAGCCGAGTGTCGAGGGAGAGTTCCGTCAGCACGACGGCGTGGTGACGATCTTGATGTTCTACCGTCACAGGGCTTCGCCTAAGCACCGCTACAATATTATCGAGGAGGACTATGATGGAGGGGGGCACCGCACACGACTAAGAGATCAAGAGATCAATTGTTGTTGTGCCTAGAGGTGCCCCCTTGCCCCCGTATATAAAGGAGCAAGGGGGGAGGGGGTGGCCGGCCAGGAGGGGGCGCGCCAAGGGGATTCCTACTCCCACCGGGAGTAGGACTCCCTCCTTCCTTGTTGGAGTAGGAGAAGGGGGAAGAGGGGGAGAGGAAGAAGGAAAAGGGGGCTGCGCCCCTTGTCCAATTCAGACCAGAGGGGGGGGCGCAGGCCTCCTTCCTTTTGGCCTCTCTCCTCTATTCCCGTATGGCTCAATAAGGCCCATATACTCCCCGACGAATTCCCGTAACTCCGAAAAATACCCGAATCACTCGGAACCTTTCCGAAGTCCGAATATAGTCGTCCAATATATCGATCTTTACGTCTCGACCATTTCGAGACTCCTCGTCATGTCCTCGATCTCATCCGGAACTTCGAACTCCTTCGGTACATCAAAACTCATAAACTCATAATATAACTATCATCGAAACCTTAAGCGTGCGGACCCTACGGGTTCGAGAACTATGTAGACATGACCGAGACACATTTCCGGTCAATAACCAATAGCGGAACCTGGATGCTCATATTGGCTCCTACATATTCTAGGAAGATCTTTATCGGTCAAACCGCATAACAACATGTTGTTTCCTTTGTCATCGGTATGTTACTTGCCCGAGATTCGATCATCGGTATCACAATACCTAGTTCAATCTCGTTACCGGCAAGTCTATTTACTCGTTACGTAATGCATCATTCCGTAACTAACTCATTAGCTACATTGCTTGCAAGGCTTATGGTGATGTGCATTACCGAGAGGCCCCAGAGATACCTCTCTGACAATCGGAGTGACAAATCCTAATCTCAAAATACGCCAACCCAACATGTACCTTCGGAGACACCTGTAGAGCTCCTTTATAATCACCCAGTTACGTTGTGAGTTTGGTAGCACACAAAGTGTTCCTCCGGTAAACGGGAGTTGCATAATCTCATAGTTATAGGAACATGTATAAGTCATGAAGAAAGCGACAAAAACATACTAAACGATCAAGTGCTAA